CACCGAGAAGTAGCCCAGCCGCTCAAACTGGAACTTGTCAAAGGGCCGGGCGGAGAGGACCGAGACGTCAACCAGGGCGTTGCTGATAACACGCAGCGAGTCCTGGCAGCAGAGGCAGTTCAGTCAGCACGCCTGACCCCTCTGTGCCCTCCAGAGCCCTGCTCACCTCAGTCCTTCTCCAGACTGGGACACGACAGGGCCTTGCCCAGGCAGGCGTAGAGGGCACATGGAAGTAGGTGCCTCCATAGTGGGTACAGGGCAGCCCCAGCTCCCACCAAGTCCGTCACCCCAGCTCCTGCCGCTACTCACAGGGTTGAGGTCACTCAGAAAGCCACCAGGCACCTCACACGGGTCCTCGGGATTTTTGTGCAAAAACCTGTCATGAGACAGAGTCTCAGCTCAGAGCCACCAGGTGACAGGATATGGTGCCTCAGCAGTTCATGAGACCCCACAGCAGTGTCTTCCCGGAAAAGAAACCAGGAAAACCCCAGCAGAGCCTGCTGCTCCACGGCCATGCTGCTGCTCCTGCACCATCAAGCCTGTGCCCGTGACTCTGCAGGTGGCTGAGTACTCACAGCCGCTCGTAGAGCCGCACTTCACACACCAGTGGCTCGGACACCCAGTGGATGAAGGCTTTGGGCTTCTCCGCCACGTCTGACTTGGTGCAGGTCACCTCCAGCTCGATCACGCGCCCGCTGGCATCCTGGACAAGAGGAGAGGAGCTGAGCCACCAGGTAGCAGTCTGGCACAAACCTCATCCCACCAGGCAGCCCTGGGGCCGAAAGACCAGCCCCCCAACACAGGGCCACCCTGCTCCCCACCATACAAGACATAGGGCTGGCAAGGAGCTGCTACAAAGGCCCACACTGTGCCCACAGCATCCAGCTCAAGATGATGCCCTTCCCCGATGGGGCACAGCCTTGTCCTGACATTGCACAGACCAACTTTGTGTCACCAGTGCCCAGAGCCACCCACCTTAATGATGTTCTGGACGGCAATGACGTAGCCGGCGTGGCGCAGCCCCACGGGCTGCCCGGGGGCCAGGCGCTTGTAGCCCTTATCCACCTCCTGCGAGAGAGTTCACAGCTGCATGAGGGGACCCAGCACAGGGAGCAGGTTTCCCCCTCCAGCACGTTTCTCTGTCCCCACGGCTGCATCCTCCCACCCACTCCTGCTTTCTCAGGGATCAGTGCACTCAAGGCTGTTTGAATTCCAACATTGCTGCAGGACGTTCTCCAGTGCACAGGCCACTGGACATGTGGGCTGGACACATCCCGACTGAGCTGAGGGCAGTGGGCAATTCCCTGGTGTCTGTCAGAGCTGCTGGCACCTTTGGGAGTTGCAGTTGGGGGG